CGAACTCAGACGACGCTATCACCCGATATTTACCAAATTTTGGCACAACTATTGTTTGTTCTCGTTTCTACAATACAGAACCATGTTTTTAAGTTCGTTCTTCACTTTTGGATACCAAAATGACGTAATTTAGAAAAGTCAGCAAACCTTCTTTTGATTAGAAAGGTTTCTATCACCTTGTTGGACAATATTCACGAAATATAGTAAAACATTAGGAAATAAATAAAACCTTTATCTCTAAAATCCAGACGTTCTTAGCTCTAAGACATCGAAATATCCATCCAGCTGTATGAAAAGAGTCAATGTGATTGGCCAGTTCATACAGAAGTTCAATATATGGACCAATCATTTGACCCCGTTCTCTGTGAAGGACTATATCAAGAAGATGTGTGGATCTAGGGAATTTGTAGTGCTAAAAAACACATAAGTGATGATATACAGACTTTGTTAAAAGAAAGTTCAATTTAACATCTGCTTATAAAACTTGTGTTTATGACGTACCAACTGTTTGGAGCCGTCTGCTGACACACTTTTGGCCGGAGGCCAAGGTTCTACACACATTTTACTGCTATCGATTTCCTTCAGTCTGTTATATGTAAATTTCAAAAAGTCTTCGCTTACTTTTTCCATCACTTTCATCGTGCTTGTTCTATCCTATATTGTATTGAAAAAAAAACTTAGTTGAATTATGATACAATCAAATAAAATAGTACTAGAGAAATTCAGATTTTTGCACTTGTAAAACATCAAGCCAAGAGACATTAGTATTGCTAGAAAGATTTGTCCACTTGGAAATAAAGAATCAGTAACCTCAGTCTCGATCTTGTAATATTCGTCAGAGGATATTTCCATCAGTTTGACTCCTTTTTGCTCTTTCAATTTATTGTTGTTTTCTGCTACTTCCAATGCAAATACGGTAACAGGATCTAAATATACAAACTGCATATGAATAAAAAATGTTCCAATTAAATACTTAAATAAGTACTTTAGAATAGTTTTGAACAATTCAATAATATTTTAAAGGTGCATGGACACAGATTTGAAGTTAATATTTTCTGTATAATATCACGACTTATATATTTTAAAAGCATTTCACACAAAAATATATTAAAATTCTATTTCATCTAAAAGTTATTGAAAATTCAAATTTTTGGATGGGTTTGATCGACACATCCCTGCACTGTCACAAATTTTACTTTTATTCTCAATACTTAGGAAAAGTGGCAATCTTCTTGTGCATTAATGAAAAATATTAAAACTTTAATCAAGAAAAATAATTATATTCATAGTAGAAATGTTAGAAAGCTAAACCCCTTCACAAGTATCGTCATTCCGCGATAAGTTTTGTGTATAAAGTATAGCAAATTGATCACACCCGTAAAACGTACACAGTTTTTGTAAACAGGATACGAGCTCTGTTATTGTTGATGTTTACGATTCACCGGGAGCGTTCAATTGCTAAAGTCTGCTCACCAAAACTGTACGGACTGACAATATTCTGTGTGTATGTTTTGCTTTCGAACAAATTTTTTACTCTGAATTTTCTGGATTATAGTTTTAATATTTTTCATTTATAAACAACAAGATTGCCACTTTTCCTAAGTATTAAAAGTAAAAATAAAATTAGTGAAAGTGCAAGGATGTGTCAATCAAACCCGTCAAAAAAGGTTTCAATAACTTTCAGATGAAATAAAATTTTTAATATATTTTTGTGTGAAAAGCTATTAAAATATGCAAGTCGTAATATTATACAGAAAATATTAACTTCAAATCTGTATCCATGCACCTTTAAGACATTTTAATTTCACATTTAACTTATAACAAAATTCCTCCAGAATCTTACGCTACAGTAAGTAATTCGGGACTGTAGATCAGCCAGTGTAGGTGAACAACAAAGTATATAAGAAGTATATAAGAAAATAGTTATAGGTTTTTTAAAAAAATTATTCCAAAAGGAAAAACCAAGCTGAAATTTCTCACAGGTATTTCAAACATTCTTATTAATATTTTGCATTTTATGAAATTATCTTTCTAATAGATTTCATATTTTCGTTTTTTTTTTATTAGAGAACCCGACTGGAACAAATGGTTTTCAAAATTCAACGTAGGTTCTAGTATGCATTCTTTGAGACCCGGTGTTCTGCAAATTATAAAACCCGATGAGTTCAGAGTCGCTCTGGCAGTGCCTCTGGCGAGAGTTAGCGAGACTACAGCGAGATAGGGTAAATTATTCACTGAAATGTGGCTAGGAAGTGCAGCACGTGGATATATGGTTAACAAAAAAGTTTTGCATAAGAACCGGAACTATATTTTTTGGGGTCAGATTAGCAAATGAGGCACCAATGTGACTTTAACTGACAAATCAGATGAATGAGAATTGCATTATGGGTTACTACGAATACTACAGGAATTTTATAAATTGATAAATTGATTTATCCATTTAAATGCATACGAGATGCTACTCCTTTTCTCGTGCTGGTGTTCTGAACTTGACACTAACTGCGTATACATTTCATTAAACATATTTTTTCTAGTTAACATCAAATCAAAAACTCCCATGACACCGTTCATAGTTTCTAATCTTTGCATTTTGTTCATAAGAACATTTTCTTTTTATTTTGAACTATATTTACGTGATAATAGATTAACCTTAACCACGTGTTCTAAGTAAAATGTAAACATATATTTGGCGTAAACGTATTCAATCAACAATTGGTCAGTTACTCGTGGATAGATTCTCTGTGCGCATTACATGTATTTACAATATATAGCCATATAAGGCAAACGAATGTTTGTCAGTGTAGATGATATTACACATTTTTACCAGCGTATCGGTCGCTAGTGAGCTCTAATTTTTGCCGTAAACTTTGATAAGATATATTGTTATTTGCTTAACACCCTCCCCCCTGCCACCCTTTTCTGTTGAAATCATGAAAGCATGAAAGTCTTTTAGAAAGGTCTGGAAACCCATTTTTCATAGGACATGTTTTCAAAAGAAACAGACTATAGCTGCGGATACGAGATGGGTACCCCAAATTAGAGTTGCGGAACAGACGGACAGGACGGACGGACGTACAGACGGACGGACGGAATTAACGATTACTATATACCCTCCCACTTTTCAAGCGGGGGGTATAATAACAGTAGTAGGGGTGTTAATGAACTGTGAAGAGAGAAAAGAGCTTACTCTTTCAAATACAGAATTGGCCTTGATCTGCCTTTCTGTCAAGGGTGGTATTTCATACACCTTTGCGTGTGTTCCCTCTACTCCAGAATATGTATCTGGAAATCACAAGAAAAAGCCAGAAATAAGAAAGGTTACACAATTTTTCAACACATAAAAAATCAACAATGGTGCGGATTCTTCACATTTTTGAGATTCAGAAATTTTTATATTGTTTTTGAACGTTGTAAACAATGGTAAAAGAATACCGTATAAAGTATAGCTCCCCTCTCCGCTGATATTGCTAGAGATGTCCAGTAATCTCTCTCGCAGTGCCTCCAGTTTTAGCCTCTGTTCTGGGATTGTTGCAAGCCCTTCTAAAATTAAACCTTGGACCCTTCGAGGCCGGTTAAATCCTTGGGGTTTAAGATGAGTAAAGACAATCTGGAAATAGTAAAAATAATGAAATATAATATTAAACTCAAAAGTCAATACAAAATGGGAGCGAAGGAAAAAAGGACCTCCAAAAGCATCAGAGGGGGATTATGTGCCATAGAGGAGTAAGTATCCCCTGTCAACCAGTCACTCACGCCATGTGCTCTTTTAATATATAGTGGAAAAAAAGTGTTAAATACGTTTCAATGGTAGTGGTTTTACATTTGTAGTAAAAAATTGTCATTTCAAATTTTCTAAAAGTTTTATATTAGTTCTAAGTCAGATCTGAACAATCTGTATACATTTGTAATCATATCGTCAATATCGGAGTCGCTGACGTCCGAGTATGGCCACGCTGCATAGTTAAGAATTTCGTCTGCTAAAATGTTGACAGACCACACGTCACTGTATATACTGTAATGCCCTTCCAGAAGACTTTCAGGGGCCGCCCACCTTATGGGAACGCCTTCAAAATCCAGATCTAGCAAAAGATCCATGAACAAAGTAATACTAGTATTCAAATCCAAAGTATTTGACCTATTACGTAAAAGGTGAGTCCATTTATTTGAAAAATGAGAAATGAAGGTTGCATTCCCATTAGCATGACTTACCTATAAGACCACTTATTATTCCACCGCTTGGAAAATCTGAGGGTTTTGCTGCCATCTCAAAGTTTTTCAACTTAAGAAAATAGCCATTGTCTGTTGTAGCGCAGCAATAGGATGACGTCGTGATATCCCTGATGAGACAACCACAGCTGTGAACATACAAGACTGCCTCGACTGCTTGCACAATCATCTTAATGAGATTTTCAATGGGGATTATCTTTCCTTTGTCTCTTGCCTCCAGGAGGCGTCTTTGTAAGTTGTCTCCAGGAAGTCTCTCCTTGATATAAAACTTCGGTAATGTTTGCTTGAATGCAAGAAG